ACAGGGTGAGACTCCAACTCAAAAAAAAAAAAAAAAGAATAGTATCAAGGTGTCTTCCTATGTTACACAATTGGGGACAATCAAAAAAAAAAAAAAAAATAGGCTCGGGGAAGCTAATATTTTTTTCTGAGTGGGAGTTTCACTCTGTCACCCATGCTGGAGTGTAGTAGCACAATCACAGCTCACAGCAGCCTTGATCTCCTGGGTTCAGGCAATCCATCTGCCTCAGTCTCTCCAGTACCAGTACCTACAAGCATGCACCACCACACCCTGCTAATTTTTTTTGTAGAGATGAGATCTCATTATGCTGCCCAGGCTAGTCTTGAATTCCTGGACTCAAGCAATCCTCCTGCCTTGGTCTCCCAAAGTTCTAGGATTACAGATGAGACCACCGTGCCCAGCCTATTTTAACTTAAGTATATGTACAAATCCAGAAGACCTCTAAGGTAGCATTTCAGGAGACTTTCAAATCTTAAGAGATCTATCTCCTAAGAGACCGTGCCCAAAAATCAGGACCAAGACCTGATTATAAGCAGTAAAAGAGACTAAATGCATAGTGTTGCATTCTGTGCCAAAGTCTGAGATCTAACAGGGCAAGATTAGAATCATGAGGCCTGGGATGGAGACATTTGGGTGATGACCCTGACGTCCTGGGTCCCTGAATTACCCTGAATTCAAGGATGCTCGCCCTCAGCCCTTCAATTCAATTTCATACTAGGAAATGGGAGAGGACTTGAAGTGAAATAAGACAAGAAAAATAAAGTATAAAAATCTGAAAAAATAAAACTGGTATATTCAGATGATCTGATTGTTTATATAAAAAATCTTTTAAAACACTGTAGGTAAAATATTAGACTAACTAAATTTAACATGATCACTGGATACAAGATTAATATATAGCAATTATATTTTTAATTTCTATACATTGCACAAAATCCTTCAATTAAGGATGGATTGATATGTTCAATCAATATAAGCCAAAAAATAGAAAAATCTAATTTAAAATAATCTATGTTTACATATTTTAAATATGGTTTTAACATATCATCCCAGAAAAGAAAACATATAGGAACAAATCTAACAAAATATGTGCAAGACCACTATACTGAAAACTACTACCTTTATTAAGAGAAGTTAAAGAGGACCTAAATAAATGAGATAAATGGAGAAATACACCATGCCCATGGTTAGAAGACTCTATATTGTAAAGATTCCAATTCTCTCCAAACTGATCTATAGATTGACTATAACATTTCAAAGTTATTTTTTGTTGAAAATGAGCAAATTGATTCCAAAATTTAAGTGACTATGCAAAGAACTTAAAAGAAATACAACTCTGAAGAAACAGAACAAAGGTAGAAAATTTATACTGTCAAATATCAAGATATTATATAGCTACAGGAATTTAGATAGGGTGGTATTGGTGCAAAGATGGATAAGTAAATCAGAGGAGCAGAATAGATGGTATAGAAATAGACACTGCAGTGTAGTGGAAAAGAGGTGGTCTTATCAACAAATAGTGCTGGTTCAATTCAATATGCATATGGGAAAAATGAATCTTGACCTCTACCTCACATCATACATCAAAATTAATTTCAAACTGATAATAGATCTGTGAAAGTAAAACAATAAAGTTTCAGACCGGATGCAGTGGCTCAAGCCTGTAATCCCAGCACTTTGGGAAGCCGAGGCAAGAGGATTGCCTGAGCTCAAGGGTTCGAGACCAGTGAGGGCAACTTGGTGATACCTCATCTCTATAATAAATCAAAATATAAGTCAGGCAAGGTAGCACGTGCCTATAGTTTCAGCTACTTGGAAGGCTGAGGCAGAAGGATTGCCTAAGCCCAGCAGAACGAGACTGTGGTGGCTGTGAGCATGCCACTGCACTCCAGCCTGGGCAACAGAGTGAGACGCCAACTCACAAAAAAAAAAAAAGAAAGAAAGAAAGAGAAAGAGAGAGAAAATAAAGCTTCTAGAAGAAAACATGGGAAGATATCTTCATGACCTTAGAGTAGGCAAAAACGTCTTTAAGAAAACAAAAAGGTATGCATTGACAATAAAGGGATTAATTGGACAACATCAGTATAAACTACTATTTATCAGAACTCATCAAGAGAGTGGAAACATAAGCCACAAACTGATAAGATATTATACACACACACACACACACACACACACACACACACACACACACACAGGCATATACACATACACACTTAAATACATATACATACATGGGGGACGAAAAAAACTGGAATTATTTTTTGGAGGGTGGGCACCTTGTAGTACAGGTGTCCCCTGCTAAATAAGTGTTCTAGGAATCCATCAGCACCAGTGTACCAGCTAGCATTGTTGTAAGAGGCTGTGTTCAGCTTCAGTGAATTTTTTTTTTTCTACATTCTTTCAACAAGTGTGCCCGTTTCATGATGGGTGATTTAGGAGCACACCTGACCACACCACTCTGAGTATTCAGCAGTTGTTGACCAAAAAGGGCATGACCCCCATGTCCCACCGTCCCTATTCACCTGATCTCACCCCAAGTGACTCTTTTTTGTTTGCCTCACAGGGAAACATTTTGCCCATGTGGAAGAGGAGAAACAAAAAAAGCAGAAGCACTAAAAGTCATCAAAATGATGAGTTCAAAAACTGTCAGTGGAAAAAGGATCTTGATAGGTGTATTGCATCAAATGAAGAGTAGTGGGAAAAGGATCTTGATAGGTGTATTGCATCAAATGAAAAAGCAGTGGAAAAAGGATCTTGATAGGTGTATTGCATCAAATGAAGAGTATTTTAAAGGTGACTGAAGTTTAAATTTGTAAGAATAAATACACAGTTTTTTTTTAATAAATTCTGGAGTTTTGGGGGCCCCCACTTGTGTGTGTGTGTGTGTGTGTGTGTGTGTGTGTGTGTGTGTGTGTGTGTGTGTGTAAGCACATACATCCACACATATAAAGGATTCTGTATGCAAAACATATAAGAAATTCCTACAAATCCATAAGGAAAAGGAAGACACCCAAGAGAAATAAATGAACAAAAGACTCAAGCAAGCACTTCACAAATGAGTATGTTCAAATGGTCAAGAAGCAGTTGAAAACATGCTTGACTTTATTAATCATCATGGAAATATAAATCAAAACTACAGTAAGATCCCAGTAGACCTTCACCAGAATCATTAGAATTAAAAATAAGAAAATAAAGGATATGATATAATGGGAACCATCTTACACACCTAGTTGGAGTGTAAAACTGATACAATTTGTCTCTTCCAATACTGTTTGGCAATATATACTAATATTGAACATACATCCTATGACCCAGCAATTAAATGTACACAGAAATGTGTGTATATATGCACCAGAAGTCATGCACAGAAATGTTCACAATGGCATTATAATATCTAAAAACTGGAAACATCTACCTACCAGTAGTAGAATGAATAACATACATTGTGATATAGTCATACAATGGAATGCTATACAACAATTTTTAAAAGAACACTCCACAGCTATATACAACATAAGTTAATTTCATAAACAATATTTTTAAAAGAAATCAGACACAAAAAATGCATGCCATGTGATTTAATTTGCATAAAGTTCAAAAACATAAAACCAATCTATGGTGTTAGACTCAATATAAGGAGAATTGGAAGGAGAGAGAGGGTGGTGACTGAAACAGGGGATGGGGAGGACCTGGGGTCCTGATAATGATCTATTTTTTTTTTTTTTGGATGCTGCTTACATAGGTGTGTTACTTTGTGAAAATTCACTGAGCTGTACATGAACGATTTGTGCATTTTTTCATAAGTTGACTTTCAGTGTTTAAAAATGCTTTTAATTCACCAGTACAAATAGGTAAAAAGACATAAGAGCATAAGAAACTTCCTTACCAGGTATCCTTTCCCCTCCTTCTTGCCTATGAGCCAGTCCTGTAGACCTGGAGCCCCTGCAGATAGCCAGCTGAGAAAAGTAAAATGAGGAAGGTCTTACAAACTGAGAACATCCCCTTCCCTAAAGACAAGTACTTGATAACACAGATCTCAGCTCAGAGAAGGGAATGAGAAGTCCTATCTTTGAATGAAGATTGAAGTGTCTGGAGCAGCACAAAGGATGCAACTGGAACTGCTATGAATGGAAAGGTCACTCATGAGAAGCAAAGCAGATGGGAGTTGGAGGTGGCGCAGGGACTGTGGACAATTTTTCTTGGTAATTGCTTAACTCAGATGACATCAGACATAGGAGAGCTGATGCTGAATGGAACTATACTGGCAAGTGAGAGTGGGTGGTTCTCAGTGGCCTCAGGCTAAAAGAAATTATCTAAAGGGAGAATTTCATCAACAAACTAGATGTGAGATACTTCGAGATATAGGACCTTTTTCTTCCCCTCAAACCCCATTTTTTTGTCCATATAATGGCAATTATATACCTGAGCCATTTGGGTCCTTCAAGAAGACAGAATTAGACTTACAAAATATTTATGAGGAGAAACACCTGTGGGGATCATTGGAGAGGAAGAAGACAGCAAGAGAAGCCAGGGAAAGCCTTCAAACTTCAATGCCAGCCTGACATCGGCAAAGAAACAAGATAAGGAAGGAGGATTGTGTAGGAAGAGTCTCAGACTGCATTATGGTTCCAAGAAAGGGTTGGCCATGCTAATGGGTAATCCCCAAGCCAGTCATCCATTGGGGAGCCCCTCATCTTTCAATAGTGGGCCTGTCATGCTCAGTTATTGACAGAGAGAAGCCCCACAGGAAGTATGGCGTAAATGCAAAAATACTGGTGGATTTCAAGAGAGAGCAGTTAAGGCTGTCAATCAACTATGCTGCCAATAGCAGGAAACCCCTGCAACAGGAACATTTTCAGGACCTCCACAGTTCACTCCTTGCCCAGCACAGACCTACACTTCCACACGGGTTAGGGAGAAGCTCCTCCATACTTCCTATAGGCCTCTTTCCAGGAAGCTTAACTCAGAAGAGGGGGACAAGTGAATGAATTATAGCCTCCATGACTGTAGCTGGTTTCAGGAATGCAACTGGTACATCTTCTCCTTCTTCTAGTCACTTTAAATTCTCCTCACTCTTTACTGTCACCTTGGTAGGTCTTGATGAATTTCCTGTTGGTATAATCAAAGCCTTCATTTCTGAGGAGGCTGAGCCCTTGACCATCATATTGTTCTCAGACTAGAGTTGCTGCACTTGTCTGTTCACTGTTATAGTGGGACAAGGGAGTACCAGGAAGTGGCCAAGTGGATCACCTGGGTTCTGCACATATTCCTCCCTGCATCCACGGTATAGCAGAAGCTCTGTCTCCCACTGATCAGGATCACCTTCTGCCCTGTTGGTTCTCCCCATTTGTGTCCTAGTAACAGCTATAGCTTGTAGTTGACGGGGACTTTTGCTGTGTACCTTAGCAAGAAAGTGTCCCTTCTGGGAATCAGGACATTCAACTTTGCAAAACACAGAGCTGTGTAGATAAGAAGCATAAACTCCCTAAATGAGTCCAAGACTCATGGTGCCAACCATGAGTCTTCACAAAGGAAGGGAAACATTGAATGCATCTACTGCTTTGTGAAAGACAGAATCCTATCCTTGCAAAGTGTTACCTCTGAGCTGGTGCTTCAGCTGTGCCTTTAGAGGTTGTTCCAGTGCCCCATAAGGTCTGCTGATTTGGGGTGGTGTGGTGTGTGATACCACTGTGATCTGAGTCTACCCTGCACTTACTTCTCTTTGAAGTTGTGTAGTGAATACCCTGGGTATATTCCTTGCTGGTGGATCAGGCATTCTGTAAGCCCCTTGATAATGCTGCTGGCTGAGACTACGCAGACAGGAAAGGAAGATTTATATTTGAGAAAACAAACCACTAGATAGAAGGGGTCTCATATGGTCCACCTGCCTGCAAGTGGCTGGATGGTCTCACAGAAAATAGTACCATGTCCAGATGTCAGCATTAATCTCTGCTGCTGATAGGTTGAATATTCAGAGACAGCAGTGGCTACAACTGTCTTGATAAGGGAAAGTCCAAGTTCTTAGATTCACTTGTAACCTCCATCTCTGCCACTATGGCCACTCCATTCATGTGCCCACTGGGCCAGTTCTGGGGTAGCCAATGACAACTCTATCTAATGTCAACTGGCCGAATTGTCTGGACCACTTGGTTGTCCAGTGCTTCCCCGTCTTCTTTCTGGTGGGTAACAAAGTATAATACAAAGATCTTCACACTCTGTTCCCACCCCTACAGTGCACCCACATGCCTCTACCCAGACCTCCCTGCCTCTATCTTCTCAGTCTTTTCCTTTCGGTCCTCTGACTAGGTCATTGACTATTGCCAAGAATCTGTATATATTCTCACCTCAGACCAGCTCACCTTCCAAACAAAGTGTATGACAAGGTGTCTTGCTCACATTGGGAAGAAATGTCCCTCTGACTGTCTTTCAAGGCCACACTTGAATGTGACTATAATGCAGTTGCCATTCACTTCTGGCTCCCACATGTGTACCGAGTCGGTCATTCACAAACCAAGCTCAGGCCTTTTTCTCTTTCTTCAGTTGATCATATGAGAAACCCCATATAGCTCTAAGCTTGGGCTGGGGAAGAGGCGTGTTGCAACACTGGCAAATGACAAGGAGCTCTGGGCTGTGTGCCCATGTAGCTTACTCATGCCCTCCAGCTGTGCTCAGGCTGAATCCTAAAGATACCATTCTATTTTAGGACGAGCCTATCTGATGGGTCCAACAGAGCCTATCTGATGGATCCAACAGTTTCAGATATATAATTATTTGACGCCCCGTGGTGAAACCAGGGTCCAATAACATGTTGGGAGCTGTTTCCAAAAAAAATACATGTAATTTTCTGCTGTGAATTGCATGGCCTTGCTCTAGACTCCCAGGGATCTGCATTGTTATTCTCTTGCTGGAACTTGCCACAAGCTCCTTACTATATTTTTCTTCTACTATTGACCCCTCCAACATCATAAGTTCTCCCAGACGATATGGCCCAACTGGATGGTTGTTTGCACAGGGTCTGGACCTGCTGCAGAGCCTTTCCCACTCCTGGCCCCACACAGAGCTGGCCGCCTTCTGTGCATGGGCCAGAGCAGCATTTGCAGGTATGGAAGGTGCTTCCTCCAGGACCCAATAAGGCCTACCACATGCTCTGTTTCCTTCTTTGTGTTAGGGAATGCAAGATGCAGCCACTTGTCTTTTGTTGTGGATAGGATGTCTCAGGCCACCCCTAACCACTGGGCCCCTAAAAACTTCACTGAAGCAATGGGTCTCTGAATCACTGAAGTGTGTGTCTCGCCAAGATCTCCGCAGTAGCAGCCACCTCTTTCTCATTCTATCTGATCAGCTTGATGTCTCACTTGAGTGTTTTGTGATAGAGGGAGTACCAAGTTCAGGATCAGCCCACCAGGGGCCTTCTCTCAGAACGTCTGAATTTTTAGCCATGCCAGGCCCCAAGGTGTCTTCCTTTCCTGCCACTTCTGCCAGCCTCAGATCCAGCAAGACCACCACTCACAAAGCTCACGTGGATTTTAGGTAGTTCTCCTTCATCATCTTCAATAGACCTGACTTAGCCAATGTACCATATTCTTGGGTGTTATTGGGAAATAGATCAATTATGCCATCACAGACTTCTCAGTATGGGTATTACTCATCTTTGTTATAAAAAAATTGCTAGAAAAAACTAATAAGCTATGTGTTTTGCCACAATGTGTGGGTCTGCAAGGGAAGAATAAGGCTGATGGATGATAAGAAGGGTTGGACAAGCTATCACTATATTGCCCAGGCTGTTGTTAAACTCCTGAACTCAATCAGTTCTCCTGCCTTGGCCTCCCAAAGTGCTGGGATTACATATGTGAGCCACCATGACCAGCCTTGGCAGTTTCTTTTAAAGAGAACATTGTGCTTACAATATAATCCTGGGATTACACTCTTTTTTTTTTTTTTTTTGAGTCAGAGTCTAACTCTGTCACTCAGACTGGAGTGCATTGACATGCTCACAGCCATCGCAGCCTTGATCTGCTGGGCTCAGGTGATCCTTCCTCTTCAGCTTTCCAAATAGCTGGAACTACAGGCATGTGCCACCACGCCCACTAATTTTTTTGGTTTATTGTAGAGATGAGGTCTCGCCAAGCTGCCCAGGCTGGTCTCAAACCCATGGGCTCAGGCAATCATCTCACCTCGGCCTCCTAAAGTGCTGAATTATAGGCGTGCACCCAGCTGGAACTGCCCTCTTAATCATATACTCCCCCCAAAATAAAGACTAATTTTCATGCAAAAAAAAGAGTTGAAAAGGATCTGAGGGAAGAAGGATGGATACACGTGAGGGCTGTGCTGAAATGGAGCTAGGCTAGATCGAGACAATGCAGAGGAAAGGCTGTGGTGCTTGTCATACACAGAGAAGGGCTGAACTTCCATGTGGGGTACAGGAGCCTCAGATGCCAGTTATTGGAAAATTCTGTGATGAATAAAAAGGAGCACCATATTTGTTATAAGACTCTGCAGTCAAGCATTGCACATCTTCTCTGCCCCAATTCCCAGATTTAGCAGCGGGACAACAGTCCTGAGGAATATGACTCATTCACTCTGAACAGATACCCTCAGAGTCTTGGACATCCTCCCACATACACATATGCACATGCACATGTGTGCATGTGCATATGTGTATGTGTGACTGCTCACACTGCCCGTAGATCACACTCTAACAAAACCAATACTTAGTGACCATCACCAACCAGTGCAGCCCTCACTCTAACAAAACCAGCACTTAGTGACCACCCCCGTTGATGAGTGTAAGTGTGAGAAGGAATAAATATCTCTGGGATGCTCAGGAAAAGGTTGTAAGTGGAGGTTGTTACCCCCAGTAACATCCAGACTCTAAATCAGAAGAAATGCATGCCCAATTTCTTGATTCAGCAAAAGGGTCAGATTTTCCAATCAGTCACAGCTGTGTGTTGTCTGCACCTGCTCCTTCTCAATCAACCAAATCAAAGACCTCATTTTTTTAAGAAAAGCTGGGGTCTAGAATGAGTAACTGGCCTTGTTTTCCTGGGATTTCTAGACACCAGACTTCCAGAAACTGAGAAAGTCCTTGTCAAACCAGGATGAGTTGGTCAACCTCGTCTGAATTGGGGAAAGTAGATTGCTACAGAGATGTGTGCACATGGTTGTGCCACTTAGTGCTGATTACTACTGAGACTGGACTGGGTCTAGGGCCAAAATAAAAAGATAATGCCACCTTGTCACCAAGAACTCCCTACTAAAGGAGCACCCTCTTTTTACCTGAATATGGGCAGTTGATAAAAGACTAAACATTTCTTCCAGGCCAGATGCGTTGGCTCGTGCCTGTAATCCCAGCACTTTGGGAGGCCAAGACGAGAGAATTGCCTGAGCCCAAGGGTTCGAGACCAGCCTGGGCAACATGGTGAGACTTCATCTCTACAATAAATCAAAAAATTACCTGGCCATGGTGACACACGCCTGTAGTTCCAGCTACTTGGAGGGCTGACGTGGAAAGATTGCCTAAGCCCAGCAGGTTGAGGCTGCAGTGGCCGTGAGTGTGCCACTGCACTCCAGTCTGGGCAACAGAGTGAGACTCCAACTCACAAAAAAAAAGAAAAAAATTCTTCTCACAGAGATTTAAATCCACAGCATTGGTGGCCCCATCAGAGAAGATAACCAGGTCCTAATTGAAGATGGGACTTTCCCAGTTAAGTGGAGAGAGTGAAGACCTAGAGGGTAGAGGGGCATTGACCCTCCCCCAGGCCTGTGGACTAAACTCTTCTTCTCCTAGAGCAGGGCCGAATGTGATCAGGGCAACGGACTGTGAGAAACCCCAAAGCTGAGGGCAGGGGAAATATGAAGAAGGTTGATTTAGCCCTCAAGTACTTCCAGGGAGTATTTTAATAAGCCTCAAGCACAGATTGCTGACGAAATAAAGGAGAGAGGAGGGTTAGTGAACAAGGGGGACAACTGGGCTCTGGTCATCCTGGGTATATCATTGTCCTCAGCTCCCATTAGGAGTATTTCCCCCAGTGGTTCACAATTCCTAGAGACTCATAGTATCAGCTTCTGAGCTGGAATGGTAAAGCCCAATACACTGATTTTACAGATAAGGACACCAAGGTACAGGGAGGGAATGACTCATCCAAAGTCACAGAGTTCAGTTGATGGCAGAGCTGGTGAACTAAGGCAGGCTGACAATCAGTTAAAGGCAGCGTTCCCTGACTTTCAGGAATAGTACATTTTTACACCTGCAGAATAGGCAGACTTGGATCCTATAATGAACGTGATGAGTCACTGAGAAGACGGACAAGTTGGTAAGAAACAGGCTCTTTTCTGGGGCTAAGACCTGGCACATCCTCCTGGACACAGTACCCATGCACAGCTACAACCAACATGGCCCCTGGGTCCACCTGAGTTTTCTGATCCACCTCAAGCTCCAGGGCTGCGGCCAGGTGATATAATATATTGGGTTGGAGCAGTGAGGAGGAGTATAGCATTGTGCATCTGGGGAAGGAAACATGGTTTCTCCTAGTTCACCTTTCCAGCCATTCCAAAATAATAACCATTAAGAACTACCAGATCGGGTTTAGTGACTTAAGCCTGTAATCCCAGCACTTTGGGAGGCCGAGGTGAGAGGATTGCCTGAGTCCAGGGGTTCGAGACCAGCCTGGGCAACCTGGTGAGACTCGTCTACACAATAAATTTTTTAAAAATTATCAGGGTATGGTGGTGTGTGCCTGTGGTTTCAGCTACTTGGAATGCTGAGGCCGAAGGATCTCCCAAGGATGTGGTAGCCATGAGCGTGCCACTACACTCCTGCCTGGGCGACAGAGTGAGACTCCAACTCAAAAAAAAGAAAAAAGAACTATCAATTACTGGACACTCTGTGCCCGGTAAGTGTAATATGATTTCATTTATCCCTTCATTTAATCTACAGGAAAATCCTGTTAGGTGAATATCATCATGCCATTATATAGATGAAGAAACCGAGACTTAAAATGGTTGCATAAAACGCACTGCTCACCCAGTGGGTAGATGCAAAACCAAAATTCAAATCCAGTTCAGCATGGTCCCTAGGTCCAGATCTTAACCCCTTCACTAAACTATAGAGTCTCTGGTTTCTCACACCAGGAGTGCATTGTCCAGAGAGCAGCTAGCCATGTACTTTCACAGTATAGTCCTCAGGAGTCTGACAGGGGCAAGCCCAGAGAACTGTGTGGACTTTGGGGCACAGGGCAGCAGTGAGCAGGACCTCAGCTGGTTCCAGAGCTCATCTTCCTTCAGTCCACAGACTCTAGAGGGAATTTGCTCTCCTAGAGTTGAATATCAAGATCTAGCAGCTAAAGCTGAGATTTAAATATTACCATCAAGCTGGATGTACCTGTAATCCCAGCACTTTGGGAGACCTAGGCGAGAGGATTGCCTGAGCACAGGGGTTCGAGCCCAGCTTGGCAATTTGGCAAGACTTCGTCTCTACACTAAGTCAAAATAAAAATTAGCTGGACATTATGGTGCATGCCTGTAGTTCCAGCTACCTGGAAGACTGAAGCAGAAAGATAGCCTGAGTCCAGAGACTGAGGTTACAGTAGCTATGAGCATGACCCTGCAGTCCAGCCTGGGCAACAGAGTGAGACTCCAGCTCAAAAATAAAAGAAAATAATAAATAAATATCACCATCAATAGCCTTAGATTACAAGGAAACATGAGAAATAGGTAAGATTTCTCTCCTAAGTTCACCTCTTGGGATGGGCACATCTTTTAAAGAACATGCTTTTGCCCTGCTATAATCCCCATAGTTGGTCCTATTATGCTCTGATTGGGCCCCAGGAAAGTTGATATTCTAGGGTTGTACAGTAGTCACTAGCCAGATATGGCTATCAAGCACAGAAATGTGGCTAGTGCAACTAAGGAGGTGAACTTTTCATTACTTTTCATTTTAATATAAAAATTGAAATAATGTAAAATATTAGTTTATTAAATAAGTATTGTTATTTTGATAGGAGCACGATTCACTTTATTGAAAATTAAGTGTCCAAAACTCAGAGGTACAAAGCAGACAGAATTTTAAAAATTAGAAAAACAAAAAAGAATGTAAAATATCTCATTTAACAATTGTATGTTAATTATGTATTGAAATTGTAAGATTTTGTGGGTTAAATAACATTGTTTTTTTACAAATAAAAGTTTATTGTACAAAATTAACGCCTTTCATAGTTCACTATGCATTTTATAGTTCACTAAAGCTAAAGAAATGTTAGATAATTTAAGTCCCTCACAAAAATTTCACTTAAAATGACCTGACCGAATGTTATCCAAACAAACACTGTAAATAACACCAAGTCCTTTAAAGATGGCTATTCCAGATGTTATTTCTTGGCATAGGTGATCTTCCTGGCAAAGGACAGAGTGATCTTAAATCTTTGTAAAGCATCCCTGGCAGCACCTGCCTATCCATTATTTTCAAATTCAACAAAGGCAATGCCATACCTCCTAGGTACCAAGCGTACTTCCTTGAAACCAGGAAACTGATTAAACAGCATGGATAACATCATCGCGTTAGTCTCTTCTGGTAAGTTATTAAGGAATAAAATATAGTTTGGAGGGTAATCAGGGACCTGAGGATTTGGTGTTGAGTTTCCTTGGTATTAGCTGAATTTGGCATTCCCTGACCAGGCTTTTTGTTTGCAGTTGTTGCACAGTTTTAGCTTTTTTCTTTTCTTTTTTCTTTCCTTTGTCAGCAAAAATGCTCCACATTTTAGATATTATATCAGAATCTGTTTTTGCATACTGAATTTGCATTGGTTTACTATAAAATGGAAATCCTTGTAACTGCCTCAAAACATTCATGGATGAGCTCAGTTCCTTAAATATGACAAAGGCCTGCCCCCTCATCTTCATGGTCTTTAAGGCCACAATATCCACCACATGGCCAAACTGGGGAAACAGGGCATATAGGGATCTCTTCAATTCTTCTTTTTTAATTTTGTCATTCATATTGTTGATATAAATTGTATGATTTGGTCTGATATCCATGTTTGAGTAATTCTTTGAATAGCCTAAGGTCTACGTGGTCTCCAAATAACATTCTTAAAATTAATCTTGCCTGTTTCAGTTCACTTTTTCAGTGTGGTTACTGGAATATTTAAAATTATATCTGTGGCTCACATCATACCTTAGTGGACAGTGTTCCACTAGAAATTCCACAGCTCACTAAGATGAAAGGACTGGGCGTTCAGCAGGAAAGAGCTCCAAGCTTCCCAGGACAAGAAGAAGGGACTCTGCTGAGGAGGTTAGAAAGAATGAGTCACAAGACACCGAAGGAAGACTGGATTGAGGGCAGGCGTACAGCATTAGAAAGAGAATTAGAATTCAGGACCAATGACAGCATGACCCTGTATTAGTTTGCTACTGCCGCAGTAACAAATTACAAACTTAGTAGCTCAAAACAACAAAAATTTATTACCTTACAATTCTGGAGATCAGAATTTTCAGTGGGCTAAAATCAAGCAGGACCTTTTTCCTTCTGGATGTTTTAGGAGAGTATCCATTTCCTTGTACACTAACCCTGATGACACCTTGATCTTGGCCTTCCAGACTCCAGAACTGTGAGAAAATAAACATCTGTTAGTTTAAGCTACCAAGTCCGTGACATTTTGTTAAGGCAGCACTAGAAGACTAATATATCTTGGTTTTCAGCCTTGTAAGCACAGAACCCAGCCAAATTCACCCAGACTTCTGACCTACAGAACTATGAGGTAATAAATGGATGTTGGCCAGGTGGCTCGTGTCTGTAATCCCAGCACTTTGGGAGGCTGAGGCGAGAGGATTATCAGAGCCCACAGGTTCGAGACCAGCCTGAGCAACACGGTGAGACCTCGTCTCTACAATGAATCAAAAAATTAACTGGGTGTGGTGACATACACCTGTAGTTCCAGCTACCTGGAGGGTTGAGGTGAAGGATCCCCTGAGCCCAGCAGGTCAAGATTGCGGTGGCCATGAGCATGCCACTGCACTACAGCCTGGGTGACAGAGTGAGGCTCTGACTCAAAAAAATTAAAGTTAAAAAAAAATAGATGTTGTTTTAAGCAACTAAGTATGTGATCATCTACTATGCAGCAATTTAAAAACTGACATGTTGGCAGTCACTTCTATGCATAGTTAATTAATTACTGGCCAGCCCAGCTTGGGAAGGTCTTCTAGGAACACTCCCATACACACTGTGTTGATTCATCGAGCATCATGAAAGGAAGGGCCAGAGGTTATTTCATTATATCAATGTACTCAATAATCCCCAACACTGGAAGTATGTCGACAATGTAGGAACAATAAAGTTTGAGTTGTAGGAGCCAGAAACTAGTCAGTGAAAATTCTTCCGATTATCACTTGAATAAAATTGTAAGCAGAGGATATCATTCTCGTTGACACTTAGTTAAACAGAAGCTCTCTCATGTTAGCAACATACTCAGTAATGAGGCATGTACATTTATAAGCATATCATAGAACTTTTTATGAGAATAAAGAAAAATAGAATTTATCAGGATTCTTGTATTTGAAGAGCACAACACAATAATAAATAACTACAGATAATATATCTTTATGGAACTGTGTGTTTTATTTATCCAGCATATTGGCTACCAATTTAGCAAATCTAAAATGTCTTATCCCAATGAAACAGGGTGCAAAATTGCCACCAACGCAGCAAAAGGAACTGAAGAAACAAGTACTCCAAAGATAAATTCCTCCCCATATTTTCCAATAACTTAATGTATGTAGCATGAGTAAGTTCATTAGACAATTATATAGCTTAGTATAACATAATTGCAACTATATATACAGTTGGGTGTCTCTTGTGTAAGCCTCTGAGAATGATTTTCTGTATTTTTCTCGTTACTGATCCATATCATAATTGAAATATGATGGGAAGTGTCCTCATGCAAACAAACATATACATGGAAAAGAAAGAAGAGTGACAGAAGCTTCAACATGCCAAAAAGAAACCAAAATCTCTGATGGTCAAAATTATGAAGGTAAGGAAAGAAATTAAAACAGTCAAATAATCTGGACAATTATAATGATAACAGAAAATATAAAGACAATGAGGTTTGGGACATTCATAAAAAGCAGACAGAAGATAAAATTAAAAGTAAAAGAAAACACAGTTGGTATGATCAACAGAATATGCACAAAGTTAATCAACTAAAAATCCTGATTAGTTGATGATTATTATACACAGTTATAATGAAAAACCCCATGAGCAATTTTTTACTTTTTTTAACCATCAAAAGTGAACCCTAACAACTGACATTCGCAACCAGCCACAAACAACATTCTCTCAGCTGTCATATGACAACAGTTGTTCTAACCAGTTAGAACAAAGAACTATAAGCCCCCTTTAAAAAGACAAGCTAGTACACGGAATGTTTGGCCACAGACCTCATTCCCAGCATCTCTTCAGAGAGAAGACTCCTTTTCAGTATCTAAAACAGTTCATTACTTTTGTATTTGGCAATAGCTACACAATTCATTATTTGGTTCATCTTATAGATGAAGTAGCTTAAACAACATGCTAGTTTGAATTTTACTTTTAAAAGTCTATATGAGCCTGACATGTTGGCTCACCCCTGTAATCCCAGCACTTTGGGAGACCAAGGCAGAAGGATCACTTGAAGCCAGGAGTTTAAGTTCAGCCTGGGCAACATAGCAAGGCCGCAACTCTACAAAAGAAATTTAAAAATTAGCCAGATGTGTTGGTGCACACCTATACTCCCAGGTACTCGGGAGGCTGAGGCAAGAAGATTACTTGAGCCCAGGAGTTTGAGGCTGCAGTGAGCAATAACTGTGTTACTGCACGTTAGCCTGAGCAACAGAGCACCCTCTACCCTCCCCTGGCAAGGCCACAGGCTAGGACAGGCACTGGGTACTCCCACCCATAACAGGAGCTCACAGAGAGCATGTGTGTGGCATACAGTAAAGGCCAGTCAGGCATACAGTGATGGAACTTGGCTAACACAATGGCCTAGGAGCCAAGAGTGCAATGTTCTAACTCCCTGTGTGACCCCAGGCAAACCCATATTTTCTTTGTAGGAGAAGTCTTTGTCTTCTGTCAAAGGAGAAAGGAATTACCACTTCACAGAGATAATGAATGTGAAATCATTTAGAATGGTAGAAAGTGCTATATAAATGGGTGGGGAGGGGGTATTATGGTGTCAACATATTCAGGTTTGTTTGGAGAAGAGGCTGAGTGAAATCCTGTGATTTAAAATCCCAAATCTCCATCGCTAGACTCACCTCAGTTTCCAGAAGTGGGTGGTGGCACTGTAATCTCAGCTTCACAGGGTGTAACCACCGCTAGACTGAAATATGAATGTCAACTGCATAATGGGAAGGAGGTGCCCAGGCTCCCGAATGCCCAGAGACCAGAGTAGAACCCTCAGGTGAGTCAACTTCTGGATCATTCTCAGCAGAGGGGACATGGAGTCCCCACTTCATGTCTGAGTCCCTTCCTCAGTCCTAGTCCAGTTCGCTCATCAGTTGGGCTCAAAAATCCAACTCAAACCTTAAAGCAACAAGAGGCCAACACAGTAAAAGAAATATGCTGTGCTCCTCTCTACCCTGAATTCCACTCTGGAAATCCTCCTGGCACAACATTGGCCACTGACTTCTTACCCTCACCCAAGAAGATCAGATTCTCTCAGCACAAATGCTGCCCAAGATTTGCTTTTGCTTTTGCTTTTTTTTTTTTTTAATATATGTGCTCATTTCCCCCACATCTATAGAGAAGCAGGGTTTGTTTGTAGCAAGAGGACACATACACATCTCTGTAATCAGCCATGGACTCAGGCTCCCAGAGACTCTTGCATAACCAACTGAGACTCTTGAGTAACCAGTTGATGGGCCCAGCAATTCCCCCTCTCCACCCAGCCCTTCTCACCCCATTCCACCAATTGGTGGACAGGCCCTCACTCCCCTGCAAGCCGCTTCAAGGCAGAGTCTATGACTGGTTTGTCTTTAGAAACTCCCTGCTGTTCTCCCTTTGGGGAAGGAGAGTGAGCTTGCAAAGGCAGCATGACATGGTGGTCAGGACAGCCTCTGCTCACAGCCTCCATTCTGGAGCCCAAATGTCCAGGTTCAGCCCCAGCTACCTGTTTATTAGCTGTGGGATCCTGAGCAAGTTACCTAACCTCACTGTGACTCTGTTTCATCATCTGTAAGGAAGGAGGATTAATAGTACCTTTCCCCTCAGATTAAGTGAGTTAATACCATAAAGCATTTAGAACAATCCCTAATGCATGTACATGCCTAGTAATTGCTAGCTATTTCCTTGAAAACATAATACCACGTGGGTAGGGATTTCTGTCTATATTGTTCATTTCTGTGTCCTCAATCTCTAAAGTAGTTCCTGGAACGCACTATGTTTTAAATAAATATTGACTAAATGATATTTAATGAATGAGTCTCCTTTCCAGGCAAATCTTTTTCTTTTTCTTTTTCTTTTTTATGTCGGGATCTCATTGTGTTGCCCAGGCTAGAGTACAGTGGAACCCCTGGGTTTAAGAGATCCTCCTGCCTTGGCCTCCCAAAGTGCTGGGATTACAAGTATGGCCACCACACCCAGCCAAAGGCATGTGTTTTCATATTTTTAAAATCCCTTTATTGTCTAGTACTATGGATTTTTAAAAGATTCTCAAAAAGGCATATCATTATGAAAATTTACAACACTGTAAGAAGAAACAGATTCTTTCTAGCTGGATAAGACAGCACCCAGACAAGTCATAAATAATTTATAAGAGTAGAAAAATATTTCCAGGCGTTCAGTGTCTTAATGTTACCTCCTAGAAATCCTTTCCCACAAAATTACTGCAGGATGAGCTCTTCCAAAATAAGAGTTTAAAGAAAGAGAAAGGCATAAGATCCAGGAAACAGATGATACCACACAAGAGAAAGGTAAAAGGAAATCTTAGGATGGACGTGTCACTATGACAAAGGAGGCTGATCTTGTGGCAGATCTAGAGAGAAGTCAGTCCAGATTGGAGTAAGATTAT